GTAGAATAACGTATGACTAAATTTTTTAGGATTTTAAGCCCCAAAACGCACACTCTTCGTAACACTTAAATTTGTGTTTCCCACTACTCGGCCTATTTATTATTTTGATCAAATCTTGGTACATTACAAGAGGTGTAATCCAAAAACCACAAACAATCTCCAGAAAAAAAATAATAAAAGCAAAACAAAATCCACCACTTCAGATACTTGCTAATACACAGTAATTATTGCAGAATAATTTAACTAACCAACGGTGAAGTTCATATTAACATACACCATACAGTATAAATAATATTTTACATTTACAATTAATCATCTTGAACCAAAATTTTCACTAAACGTCTTCCCTCTCTCAATCTGGTTAATATTGTTCTTGAACGTCTACTCTGTAAATTCAAACATTTTTCTTCGTTGTTAAACACAAAGCTACAAAAGAGGCTATCTGTGCTCTGCCCACTTTGGCATCGAAAACATATTTTTACTGCTATAAAACCTCAGACTAACCACTAAGCAATCGGATGCACATTTTAGTGACTTGTATTTCTTTTATTGGTGATCACTTTCTATAAAACTTTTAATTTACATCTCTATTACACATGAGAAATTATACTCACGAGATCTTACATTTTAATTACTTCACGCTAGGCCTAGTTCACACTCGTGGGGACTCCGATCTCAAGGTGCAATATCAACTGTACCAAACTTTAACATTTTCATTGAAAGATGGTGCCGTAATTTTGGAAAGAAGTGTCCGAAATACAGAGTCATTAACTTCTTTTAAGAAACGACGACTAGGCCCAACATTTTAGTACTCAAGGTCGCGTTTTATCTCGTCATCTTCTATTCACATCCGCTGTTTATCAACAATGATCCTCGTAGTGAAGTTTCTATGAGAACCAGATTCTCCAGAGTGAATGTTAAACAATACTACCTAGTTCACGCTTTAATAGACCAAAATCATGAATGGAGCTACATTATTGGACATCAGACATCACGTGTTCACGCTTAAACAGACCAAAATCATGAATGGAGCTACATTATTGGACATCACACGTCATGGGGTCGAATGCCGAGAATCCACTTCCTTCTGCCATCTTTCTCGTGAAAATAGCCATTGACCTGGAGAAGCGAAGCTGGAAGATTGGATAATTTTTGTCCTAGTTTATTTTCTTCTTAACGGCACCAGGAGATATGCTCAGCTTCATCCATAAGACTTTTTGAGTCAAAATGTTTTTTTTTTCCATAACATAATTTTGAATGCATTTTGTAAGTCAAGTCACCTGGAGTTGTTTTTATATTAGAACTAGTGAAGCAGAGAAGTTTGAAAGTTGCCTGGACGCCACCAGGACAAACTCACTTGCCAGACAGTTCTTTGTATGTATGCAGAACCTACCGAGTCTGTAGCCAAAGAAGTGTTAAATATTTTGTCATTGGACTGTATGCAATTACATCAAAACAACAGTATCTTATAAACAACCAGCTAAGTTACCTTTCTACGCTTGGATAGTATTTAATCTTTCGTTTTGATCCACTTAAATATTAAATAAAACACGATTATTTCACTCCATTTATTAGTTGTCCCCCCCCCCTTCACACCACCCTATAACATAGATTCTGCAAATCGAGAATTCATCACATTAGCCAGGGACATCTTTGGTTACATAACTGGAATAGATGCCGTCATTTAATTAAATAGTTGTAAAATAATCAGATTTATGGGAAAATTGTACCTTTAGTTTTCATGTTCTGTAAGCATCCCTCTGTATCTATATTACGATTTGAGCCAGAGCAATAAGTCTATGATATAGTTCACCTTCTTTTAATCCGAGCACAACTTAAGTAATATTCTAATTTCTTGCTTGCTACACTGCCAGACACACGTTACAGTTCGATTTGATATTTAACATCTGCACCAGGTAACAGCTCTATGAATTCTTTCTGTTCGATGAGGGTCATGCAGGTATACAACACAGAATCAGATTGAAGGGTGTTACCTTAGCTTTCTTAGATGCACTGTTGAATAGTTGGACTTTTATTCCTCGGCTGGGTTGGTGGTGTTTAGAGGAATTGTAACTGCTACAGTCAATCCTGTTGTTCAGTTACAAGTACACGTATAGGTAGCACGCGCTGCTGACTGACGCCTTCCCCTTGTAAGGAGTTCAAAATTTGGGTGGGTGAATATTTTGAATTTTGGGTATCTGATCAGGCGTTTAGTCGATGTTAAGATTGAAAGTACCACATATTTACTTTTTTTCGTATTACAGAAAAAAAATAATTGGCTTGAATGTATCTAATTTTGCATAAATAACTAACGGTGTCGATTGTAAATCATCGTGCAACTTATAAAACCTAGTAACATTTTTTTATTCAATTTGTAGTAAACGTGATTAGACGCACGTTCTCCGAAAGTGATCTGTTTCAAAAGTAAGTAAAACCAAATTTAAGAGTAACATATATTTTTATTTCTTGCTTTTCAAGATCATATGTCATGCTATGTTGTAGCCTACAGAGGACATAATTCTTCTCGTGATCCATAGCATGTGCACGTTTTACTGACGTCACGATAATACAAATTGCAACATTAAGCGTCCCTTAGTGACTGACTGATAACACATTAATGTATAGTGGTGCGAAAAGTTAAAACAGGTGAATCCTCCTGGACACCTTCCAGAAAATAATGTATGTTCTACAGTTAGTTTTGGGATTCTTAATCTCCCTAAGGATAGTAGGATGGCGAAGCCTCAAAACCCCCATACTGAACCGAGTTACTGATTACTAACGTAGGTTAGAGGTGGTAATTAAACTCACAGTATTCGGTCTTAGCCGAGCATCTCATATATAACAAATACAAAATATCCATGGCTTCAAGTGAATTGGAACCCTTAAGGAAGGACTTGTACAGAAACCATGGATTCTGGTGTATTGTAACCCTTCACAACTTGGAACAGAAATAGAGAACCCACGGATTCAGGTGTATTGTAACCCTTCACAACTTGGTACAGAAACAGAGAAACCACGGATTCAGATGTACTGTAACCCTTCACAACTTGGTATAGAAATAGAGAAACCACGGATTCAGATGTATTGTAACCCTTTACAACTGGGAACAGAAATAGAGAACCCACGGATTCAGGTGTATTGTAACCCTTCATAACTTGGTACAGAAACAGAGAAACCACGGATTCAGATGTATTGTAACTCTTCGTAACTTGGCTCAGAAACAGCTATTTTCGAATGATAACTTGGGGACTGATGTCTAGAACTATCTGTATGACAGTTAATCACGAAGCAAGGTTTGGTCACTTGAAAAATAAAATGTGTTCAATAATAAGTTATTTGTATTAAAGGTACAAGCATTTGAGGAAACGTAATCTTTTTTGAAGACTATATTAAATTGTTGAAATATAATTCACATGGTTAAGATATCCCAAGTTTGTGAAGAAGGATCAGTAATAAAAGAGTTACTTCAATGTTTAATGGCCACCATTTAGTGAAATCAATTGCTCCAACTATATGCTTAATATTACTTATTTTGGGAGCAGAATAGACTGGTGATTTTCTATTTTAACTTTTAAAATACCCAAGAGCCTCCAGGGGTTTTTTAACCCAAGTTTTCCCCCTATTGGAATCGGAAATGGAACTTAAGAGAAAACTACAATATTCATTGATGGGGAATCTGTATGGAAACCCAATGTTCAACAATGAATATCTCAGTAAATTACACCAGTGGTCAATGACGAGTCATCTATATGAGCAAAGATGCTGCCAGAGGAAAGCTATGAGGCTTTAGCCCCCCTCCCTCAAACACTTCTTTACAATGAAATATACGTTCAGTGCAGAAAGTAAAGGAAAACTTAAAACACTGTACACCACTACAAGAAGCCATCTTATTTTAATTTCCACTTATCCAAGGTGACAGACGAAGGGTGGATTTGTCCAAAAAAAGTATAACTCATTCGCTAGTGGTAAATCAAATAACAGATTGGACTTTATATCTTTTTTTTTTTTGTCTAGGTTACAGCGCTGTGTGCAAGAACTGCATCAATATATTCTGGTCACAATGTCATTGTTTCAGAGTATGTGAACCACTGAACTTTCTTTTCTCAAAACAAACTATTTCCACTGAGAAACACTACCTAGTTTGAACCGATATTTACCGATAGTTTAACTGACGATTTCAAGATAATTTCCTTTGTTTCCATATGGCGATATAAAAGTGATTACACAGGTGGCGACACAATTAATGACTCGGTTACAGAACGAACAAATGATCCCAATATCAGCAATAAACTCATTCCAAAAAAAACCACCAAGTACCTTTACACTGAATGGGAAAACTTTTCAAGCGTTACCAACAGAGGTAGTCACTTTTCTCTCTCAGGTTGTTTTTAAATCGTCCACGTAATGCACCTTGTTGAGTTATTTTATCTTGTCCCTTATTGGTATAAAAACGTATTGGGTGAAATCACTAATTTTCCATTTAAAATATTTTTGTAGCACACTCCAGCAGCAACGAATAAGATTATATAGAATTATACACGGACTTTTCTCTACATTAACATTTGCTAGCTTTACTGTAGCCTTACATTGGACAACAATCTACTGTACTGTCTAGTATGTGCCTGCTGAAGGCTCCAGTAAGTGTGTTGAAAGTTTGCAAATTAAAGTCTACTTTAACATAGATAAAAGTCCACGTATTCATTTACCTATGTTAGGAGGTTTAAAAACGATGAGTAAGATTAAATGTAATAATGATGGTATTTCCGTTTCATTTTTTGTATGTCATTAGGAACCTTGTAAAGTGTCTCCACCTGTTGTCTCACAACTGAAATACTATGTATTTTCTCACAAAGCATAAGCTTATACAAGTTGCAGGACTGAAACCTGGAATTTACACTGAAGGGTCTAAGTTTAAGTTGGTCAAGACAACTGACCAATGGACATGATGTACAACAATAAAATAAACGCAAAACATAAGTAAAGATAATTTTAAAAGTAAGAAAGGTTTTACTAATATTTATTTAACAACTTGAACATGGGAAAAAAAAATAAAGTTCCAGTCTCCCTTGCAAAGCAAAAATTAGAGAAATGGTCTAATAACCACATTTAAGGGAAAACCGTACATAAAATAATAAGTTTACAGAAATGTCTCACAACATTAAGAAAGAAGAGTGACATGATAATAATGATGAACAACAAACACAAGAAAGGTACAGATAGGCTCCAAAACATTTAACAGGTTTATCTTGTCAGTGTATTAATGGGTTGACTGCCAAACTTTTGGAAATCTTCAACGACGCTGGATTTGTTTCAATAAATTAGTCCAAGCTTGATGTAATCCTGGCCGCCATTTCCTTTATCTTCGGTACTGAAGTTGTTGAACACGAAACTGCCCAACAGAAACTCTAAAATAAACTCAACTGAATCATTGTTAGAACTACCAGATCGTTGTGGTTCATTATTAGGATAATACTTCACATTTCATAAATTTATAGCTTAATTTAAAATCAATCCTTGCAGGCTAATTGTCATGCCTTGCAATAATCTTTTTTTTTTTTTCTGAGTGTAGGAATTCCCACTAAAACTTGGTTACCGACCTGAAAACACAGGCCATATTAATCCTTGTATTCAGATAATTCTTTATCTTTAGTACAAACTAACCTCACTTTAAAGTACAAAACATTTTAGTTGTAGATGTAACATTTCCTTAAATAACTTTCACATGCCTTTTAAATCCTGAGGATTCCATGTTGATTTCAGTCCAGAAGTTCCAAATTTATTCACTAAATTTCAACCCACAAATTAGACAACATAATCAGTCGAACAAATAACAATGTAACTAAAAATCACCTCTGCTAGTTGAATGCACTGTTAAGAATACAAGCAGGTCTTAATAACAAACCTCTCAAAGAAAACCTCAGCTGTAAACAAGATTATTACCAGCATATTCGCTAGCTAGAAAAGTCCTTGTGAAAACTTTCGTAGCACCACAGGCAAAAACAAAACCTTTTGTCAGTTGTCAAGGTTTTTCTTTATCCTTGCACGGACGAAAACTGGAGTCTGCCAAAAAGAAAGTTCCCTATTTTGTTTAGCAGTGACATTCAACTAAAAAAACCCTGGGCCATACATTAAATCCACCGATAAATTTTGCAAGTAAATCCCCCCTAGAATGTACATTTTTCAACAATGACTGATACATTACCAATACACCACACAGAATTTGAACTGCTTGAGCAAAACTAGAGATGACTCGTGCTCAGGAATCTTGCAAGAAAAAGGAGCCAACTGTTAGAGTGAGACTAACTTGAAAAAACACCATTTTCTACAACCACATGGCAATAATGTTGTAAAACAAAGCTTTTCTTCAGATAGTTCACAGAAAATAAATAAAAAATCACTTTAAAAAACAAATTTCAAATAACTGATGGATCGTTTGGTTAAATTTAAAGAGACGCCAAAAATATACAATTTACGAAGCCATAGAAGTAGGAAATGTAGCACAAAGATCTGAACGAAAATTACTGACCCACGTGGATGTATGTGAAGGAAACAAATCGAACGTATAAACGACTAAGGTTATGAATTTCTAAAAAAGCAGACAAGAAACCCCCTCACCCACAAAACTAACCTACTAAGGTGCTAGATTAAAAAATGACATTCTTTTGCATCTCACAAAATCAACCTCGGCAACAAAATTCATTCTGCTTTCTAAATAGACAAATGTTTACTGCATGACTACAAATTATAATAATTAGATTTTAAATCTTTAAATACAATATTGTACACAATAAATGCTACAAATACACCTGTATATCGTTATGGGTAAATCTTAACCCATTGACTACCGATTCGCTGTGTAGGGTATCGTCCGCCTATTGCAGCTGAATGCGAGTGTGCCGTGTATATAGTGCACGGTTTGCAAAGGTTCCACGCGCGTTTAGAGCAGCCGCAGTCAATGGGTTAACATATGTTGACTAACACGAAACTTAAACAAACAATATTTTGATATGGTCCCGAGAGACCGACCATGCCGAGATATTTCCAGAATTATAGAACTCTTATAAAGTAGCTTTGTGAGCAATATTTGAAAATACTTGTCATAGGACAGAGGTCCCAAACTATAAACTTCAACTGATTCTTAAAAAAAAAAAGTTGATTCAATTTTTGCAAATTGTGAGATGAAACTTATGCCAACAGTACTGATGTTTTACTTAAGGATGTGAATACTGTAACTGTTATCTACTAGTCCAATTTTGTTTGTTTCCTAAAAGTTTGCTGTCATTTTAAACACATCACAACTAGAATTTTCACCAGAAGTGTGGGAAAGACAGCAGCTTGAAAAAAACAACAAAAAAACAACAATTTAACTCTGCACTATTCTTACAACTCGTGCCAGCTTAGCTGAAGTATTCCTAAAAAAACTGTGACGTATGTACGCTAGAATTCTCTGAATAAACCCTGTTCAAAAACTAGTGTTCTTTTTTTTTTTAACTAGAATAAGCCAGGTCATGATTGCAAATGGAAAAAAAAAAGGCTCTGAAACAGCTCCTGCTACCCGTACACACGTCTGTTTGACTGCAACAACTCGACCTCGACTTTCTGCAAGTGAACCTGGTGCACAGCAGCCCTCTGCAGGCAGGCAGGGGAAACAGCAAACTGGCTCAGGAACATGGTAGTCACCAGGTTCTGGTCTCACTCGAACCCAGCCACCATACCACCTTTACTGCTTACTACAGCCCCTGTAGTTACAGATAGTGGAAAAACGTACGTGAGAAATTAGAATCACACTTGAAAGACTGTGAAATTTTATTGTAGTAATCAACATAAACACAAACACACACATTCATATGAACATTAATATCCAATATTCTAACTTTATGATCAAGCACTTAAAAACTAAATTTATAACATAAACCATGGTTAAGTCTTCCTGTTCAACAAAGTTTGAAGAATTATGGTCAGAAGTTACGGTATACTTAAGCTACAGCTTTGAAAAAAAAAAAATAGTAACTCAAAAGCTTACATTCACACCACACAAACTGCCTTTTTAAAATGGACGTGATGCCCCACTGAAACTTACTTAAAAGTCAAGTTCTAAAATGTAAAACACTAACAATTACATATCTCGATATCACCAATCTACTTCATACAAATACTGACGAAATAGACAAGCAGATATCTTTCACTTTAAAGTCGTGCCTCTCTTAAACTCAAGTTAATTCCTATTTAAACACCTATGTTTTATGAGTAACGATTCCAAAAAAAGATACATTTAGGTTCTTGTTGTTGTTTTTTTTGACAATAGTTTAAACAAATACAGATTATATTACTACCATCAAGATTGCTTTAAGTAATAAAAAAATCACCACAGGATAAGGTGTAGTTTCCTGTTCACCTTGTAAGTGTTATCAATAAAGCATCAACTTTGGGTTCTGCACTGGAGAAAAGCACATGGTATCATGTGTTACTGTAAATGATACTCAAACACTCCACTATATTTAAATCATGACTAACTAGTGTAGTAACAGTTTCCAAAGGGTTTAGTGTTATATACAGTACACTGAATACTCTCTGTAAAAAGTACTGAACAAAACTTGATTTGGTTAGATACCGTTCTCGTCTCGATTTCAACATTTGTAGGCTTACTCACAGTTTGATGTTTTTAGATTTTATAGAAGTAATCTTTATTCGTTATGATTTTCCAGAAATAGCAATGGCAAAAGAAAGTACAAAGATTTTGGCCACTTGCGTGGTTTTTTTTGTCAACGAAACCAAACAATACATGTAACAAGAAAAAAAAAAAACTACAAGTTCGGCTACAACAGCCTTAATTCTTGATTAAACCCCCCTTCGGCACGAAAACCACAGACATTTTTAAACCATACCTTAAAAGAAAAAAAAAATATTTTCTGATACAACCAATTTTTTTTATTATTATTACTAAGTGTTTCTCCGTTCTTCATAGAACTGTTTTTAACTGAACCAAGTACCTATTGAATAAAACAGAAAAATATTCAATCAGTACCTCAAAAGGAAAGTACATCGATATTGGTACACCAGGTGACATCTTTCTCTATATTCTATCAAGTTTGTTTATTTAAAATTGTGTGTATTTTCATAACTTTCGTTTACTCTGGTTAAAACATGAAAAAAAATAATTTTAAAAATTCATTAAACTGTTTCCAGAAATAAAATATGATCATATTTTACACCAGATGTTGTTGTACTTTTTAATACATATAGACTTCCATCAAACGTTTTCCTAAAATCATACGTAGAACAGGAGTACAGCTTTAAAGCTCAGCATGACAACCGAGTTATGATTCTGATACACAAAGTCTGAAAAATACAGACACTACACATCGAGTAACGAAGAAAGCCTAATGGCCTCGAAAAGTTAACAATACAATACCACATTTGGCAAACACTTAAGACAGTTAAGGCTAAAAAAAAAGTTAAAATCTTGATGGTTTTTTTTTCTAAGTAAGTACTAACAGAAAAAAAGATGCTGCACATGTATGAAATCTGACAAAACTTTTTTTTTTAAAAGGTAGTACGAGACTACCGTATAGTGCCTTAACCGTTGGTAACTAAATTCCCATTTCCTGTCAACAGTTCTCGACATTTTTCCTATCATTTTACTTTTGAAGGAAAAATAACGAGAAACTTAATTAGAATATTAATTATACAATTTTGTTTTGTTTTTAAATTGAAATTCTAACAAAGTAATTTATGATCAAGAGCTAAAGCAGAACAACATAAAACAGATGAGAAAATTACATCCAGTAGTCAGAAAGAAAGTAATCTAAGTTGAACAACAGATTAAATCCATGCTGATTTTAATAACATTTAACCAATACCCACAGTTTCCATCAACAGCAATTTTTTTTCTAATCAACCACGAAAAGTGTGAATAGTAATTAACTTCCACTGTTGGAACTGAAATAATGCGATTTTTCTTTTGTGTAACCGTAACGTATCCCACTTTGAAATAATCCGTTACACGTGGTCAGACTACCCTACGACCCGGGTCAGCAAATTTTACACTGAAGTGGAATTGGTATAAATCTTAACATACAGTTTTAATATTTTTAACACTATCTACTGACATGCAGAAGACAACTTAGGAATTAAAAAAAAGCAAGAAAAACGACAAACACGTAACCTTCTATGAACCGTTGCATCAGTAAAAGCTCCTTTTTTTACTCAGGATCTCAACCATTTCTTACAAGTCATCTACTATTTCATAAGGACACAAATTACTCTGCTTCGGGACTTTTTGATCCACTTCTACTTCTGCTCTCCCTTCTGTCATCAGTTTCGCTCTCCTGCTTCTCATTTTCCTCTTCCACGCCCTCTTTTCTTTCTCGACTTGGACTCCGACTCTTGCTCCGACTTCTACTTCGTTCCACGTGATTTTCTTCATCTTCAAAATTGTTTTCCTTCACCGGACTCTTACTTGCACTTCTGCTCTTGCTGCGACTAACGCTACGACTTTCCCTCTCTTCCTCTCGTCTTTTAGAAGGACTCCTGCTGGCACTCTTGTCTCTTCTCGACCTACTTTTGCTACGGCTACGACTCTTAGAACGTGACCTAAGTTACAGATCAGGCATTACATTAGAATTGAAAAAAAAATAATTAAACATTTGTTCAGTTAAGCAGCTTTCATATATTAAGTACATTAGCACTTTAAAAAGTAACTTAACTTTTTTAATCATAAGTCTTTTTTGATCATTTTGTTAGCACAGCATCCAAACTAACTTCTATAAAAAAATATTAGCATAACTACAATACCACAAAAAGTTGAAATATTGATACACAATCTTTCAAGACTTTTCAACATTACTCAAAACCCTCCAGTTTTCAACCATTATTAGCAGTAACCTGTTTGACCAAGACTTATCAATCTTTGGGCATAACTAGCAGTAATTTCATTGCCCGATACTCCCTGATTAGCTAAGTAATTATATTGTATAGCTCTAAAGTTATGTAATACTCTTCTAAGAGGGGGGGGGGGCTGAAAAATGTCTCAGCACAGAAGATGAAACACCATCATATCAAAACTCAAGACTGGAGCCGCAAACAGAAAACTCCAACTCCATGACACTACACTGCCTAAAACTTAACTTTCAATTTGAAAGCTTGGTTAAAACTGTCACCTTTAAGTTAACTAATAAAATACATTTTTAAAAATTAACAGGTTCTTGAAAATTTTAATAGGAGAGAATTCTTAAACCAATCTGAAGGCCACATTATCTAATATCTAATTAATTATCATGACACACACACACACACAGGCTTATAATATCTTAACACAAAGAACAAGAAACCTGAATGTTGAGGTACTATTGGCAGACAGACCTTTCTTTTTCTTAACCCCTCCCCCCTACTACCCCACTTTGTGATTCACTTAATCGTTGAGCCTGTCTGACTTATAAATAAATAATTTGTACTGACCAGCAAAACCAGACACTGCATTTTTGCACAATAAAGGCTTTAAAGAGCAGAGCTGGGTGAATTGATCAGTTTACTTTCTGATGACATAAAATCACAAACACCTTACTTATGGTGTGTGAGGAACTGTCATCATGTGTGGCTGATTGGTGGAACTTGTTAATCAATTACACTCAAATGATTCATTATTCTCACACGAGATTTGAATGATTTAGAACAGTAATAATCAGAAATGCCAATATTGACTGGTCAATAATTTCCGTGAATTGTGGCAAGAATTGATTAAGCCAAATTAATCGTAAGTAATAAGAAATAATTCTGTAAATATTTTGATAGTTAAAATAATTGAAAATAATAATATAAAACACTTAATTACAATTAGTTGTTTATTTTTTGATTACTTAATTGATGCTCATAGATTTACCTCGACTAATTAAGTTAATTACCCAGCTCTAGTGAATATATATCTAAAATGAATTTAAAATCTGTGATGTATGAAAGTAAATAACAGATGGGGGTGCATAACTAAAAAAAATATTAGCTTGAACATCTTCGAGTGAACACCCATCATTAGAGAAAGAAAGAAAGAAATTTAACAAACAACTTGATGTTACGAATATATATTACTAACTAATGTTTCAACTTGTGTAATATTCTGTAGTTCTAAACTTACTATAATAAAATACAAGCAAAACATTAATAGGCTAATGTAGTACAGTGAACAGTCAAAAGTCCACTCAGGCCTATTCAATTATTTTAGAACTTTAGTTGATAAGTCAAACTATCTTCTCTATATTACTATTGTACTAGTATTCTGTGTGTGATTGTGGTACAAGTTACTGTGATTCGTTTGTCTTCTTCTGAAGATCCTCTGTTCGTTTTGTCAAAGTGTACCCAGGCTGATTCAATTACATTAGAATCACAATTTGACGGAATAAAATTATCCTTCTTATCTTTTTTTTTTATACTGTTAGTTTCACTCTAACATATTAAACGTTAGGCCTATCACTTCTATGGTACTTAACTTCATGCCAGTCTTTATTCTCTTTTACCATTATCTGTCTGCTGTTTCCTGCTCGTCTCACGCTATTTATATCTTTATCTTATAATCTTATCTTATTTTATACTGTTAGTTTCACTCTAACATATTAAACGTTAGGCCTATGTCAGTCATTAGGCCTATCACTTCTATGGTACTTAACTTCATGCCAATCTTTATTCTGTTTTACTATTATCTGTCTGCTGTTTCCCGCTCATCTCACGCTGTTTATATCTTTATCATATAATCGTCTATCCGTCTCCTATATTCTCGACGTCAATGAATTATTAACAAAACCTCCTACAATCATTTGCTTTTAACTCTTATTATAACAAAAACTAAACAATAAAATATTCACCCACAAAAACAACTCAACCAAAAACACACGTGATGTATATACCTCTCTTTATTAGCACACATACAACTTCAAATTCTAACTTTGTTTGGATATGTGAGATACTATAAACGATGGCGACAGTTAAAAGATGCTAGGACAGGGATGGTCTACCAAATTTCCAAAATAGTTTTACTGATAAATTACTATAAAGTAGAAAAAGATTTTAAACATGTAAATAAAAATTGTAATTCAGCTCTTTCTTCTCAAATGAAGTCAAACACCAAGTTAATCTAAACCTACAACTTTGGAAAATATATACAGTCCAACTTAAATCAGACAATAAGAAGTCTCTTACTTGGAACGAGACCTCCTCCTCCTCCTGTCGCTTCCTGATCGAGAACGATGTCGTCTAGACCGAGATCTTGATCGTGACCTAGTACGTGATCTTAAAAAAAAATAACATCGAAGGCATCTTAGAAGCAAAGAATAAATTTATAAAAAATTTAATTTTAATGTTAAGATAAAAGAAAATCTTGCACAATAAAACACATGTAAGCAAAAAATACTGACATAGATAATTTTATTCACACAAAAAGTTTATAAAAAAAGCTCTCTCTTACCTTGTGTTCGTATAAACTAAAAAAAATAAAACAAAGTTTTCCTTCATATAAACTAATTTTCTGGCAGTTTGACTGCCAAGTATTACTTTCAAATAATAAGTAATCCATTATTTCACGTCCATATACCCAAACAGTATTTTAAAAGGATTTTAAACCAGCAGCACAAACCAAGTCATTGGGCAAACCATACCATATATTTCGAGAATTTTTTTTACATCTAAATAAAACTACACTCCACCACATTCTATACAATAACACAAGACATGGCAAGTCGGACATATTTAGTAATCAAAGGCCAGTTTCTCTATCTTGTTGGAATAATTTTCAGATTAGGTGAAGGTGCCTAATATAGTGCCAGTTTTGTAAACAAATTCAGTAAAACTAAATTACAGCATTGCATCAGTATAAAAATAACATTACTATCTTTTAACCATGCATTATTATATGTTAACATTTACATTAAAACAAAAACATTCTACAGGAGACAGTCTGGTACCAGAGATTTAAAATATATTAGTTATAATGCTACAATATGAAAAAGAAGTTATTTATTGAATTAAAGGGATAATAGATCTAATATTTTGATTCTTTAAACAATGTCCAATATACTAATAAAGTCTTTAACTTCTAATAACCACTATGAAAAGCTAGTAGTGTGGTAATGGTGTATAAACCTGTATAATATGTATAACATAAACTGGAAATTACACTGGTCTCGTTCAAAAAAATCATAAATCACAGTGCGGTCGGTTCCCATGGTGATTTTTGAAACAGTAGAATGACTGTTCTACTTGTATTTCTTGTAAATTAGCAAAAAAAAAACAGATTAAACACCGATAATCTGGAAATCTGAATATTTCATGCACACTTCACACTCATCAAAAAAACAAAACATGCATTAATTGTGGTTCTAATGCTGTCACCAGTCTTAGAATAATCATAAATAACAAAAACGTATTAGGTGCACTTAAGTAATATACATTATAAACTGGCCTTGCCCGTGTAAATAATAACCAAAATCTCGTGCGTCTCTGTCTAGAGACATTAGTAACAAAACTATTAAAGAAATGTGAGAATGATACTGAACGAATCTGCATACTCGTGGGCGAGCCGTCAACCCGTTAACTGGTCACACCCGATTGGACCGGCCTTAATACTAGGAGGCCCCCCAGTGAGTTATAGTTCCCGGTCATTTTGCACGTTGGATAGTCAACATTCGAAAAGAAAGAAATGCACGAGCAAATCGTTACTTAGAAAATCTGATATTTTGTTTACTAAAGCCTCGTAATGTTTACCGATATCCTGCAAAATTTCATGGAGATACGTTTCCTGTATTAAAAGTTTCAGTTTGAAAACTATAATAAGCACAAAGTGGTTATGAGGCCAGTCCCTGTTGTGAGAGAGGTAAAAGAAGACTTAATAAATATTTAAACGGTAACAGCTGACTTTTAGTTGTTGTTTTCTTCCTTAGTTTGGTTTAGTGGATGGGATAACCTCAATGAACCAACAAATTAATACATTTAACAGATTTTTTAACTTATGATTTGTTTCCAAACACACCATAATTCATTCAAAAAAATAAAAATTACAAATAGTTATTAAATCATTTACATTATTTTACCACAACATGCATACGTCATGAGAAGGTGTGACATTCCAACAGTAACCAGCAGTGGAGAAAGTAGCCAGTTGCAGTGCATGGTACACTGGACAAAACATGTCCTCAGATAGCCATTCTAAAAGTAAGAAGGAAGTTAGGCATAACCTGTAAGGCAAAAAGCGAAACACCCGGAACTATGAGATCTTGATCGTCTTTTATTATTGATCATCACTCCTTTTTTTTTGGTCCTTATTCAAGTGTCGGCATCTTGTTTGTCATAAAACAAAATGACGTTCTTTGTTTCAATTTTACGACCAATTTTGTATTTCACCGGAGTCTTCACTCCCGTAGGTCCTTTTGGGTGTAGAATTCGTGATGTTACGCATGTCCAGTAGTGAAGCACTGGTAAAGATTATTTCAAATGATATTTTAAGTTGGGTAAGAGTCACATACGAGATAGTATAATATTTAATACTGAAGTTTAAGATTTAGACTTCTAGTTTTGTTGTAAGTTGATATTTGTTTTGATTAGTATTTCTCAAAATATCAATGGAAATTGTCTACGCATTGAACTATCATATAAGACTGAAGGGAGCATGTGTAGGACTGACACGGTTATCAACCCTACTCGTACAACTAGCTACGAATATGTATAGTTCTAACCGTAGCCTAATTTGTTTAGCATTTAATACTAATACAGTAATACTATGGAGTCCCACAGAATTATAGCTCCCAGCAACGAAAATGTGAAATTTCAGTTGCAAATATATCAATCTCACATAAACACAATACTAATTATTGTACACCAAAAAACAATAAAACATTCCACAGTACTTATATACACTGAATTTGTACGATTTATTTCAAGGTAACTCTACTCCCATTAGTTGTAAATCAGTTTTAAAAACATCATGATGATTGTTAAACCTGTCCTCCATCATCTGTTAAAATCCAAAAAACAGGGTATTAGTTCAAATTGGCTGGACCAATAAGGATCAGTGATATATTAAATGATAGCTCTCTTCGTGCTCTACTTTGTTCAGGGTGGGTTTTTCACTGGATTTAAAAGCATTTACTATTTGGAAACACACAAACAAAACTTTAAAACCATTTAAAATTCTTTTTTTTTTAGCCACTGACTTAGTAGAAACAAGACCATACAATAAACTTTGTGATGTGGATTACATAATGCATGAACTGATACAAAGATGTGTTTGCCCAACTCGAACCAACAGCACGTCAAAATATGACGAATTGAGATTATAAACTGCCTACAAGTTCTCCTGGTAACACACGTCGTATCTTTGGGTGTGGATACAGAAAAAGAGCGTGTGCTACAACAGTCTACGATAAAAGCGGTATCAACAATGTATCTTTTACATCACGAGATGATATCGATTGGGTCACCACTGGTACGTATCTATCGTTCACAGTATTTCAAGTTTACAACCAACACGATTAGAAAACCTCTCATATACTTTCATGGGTAAGCTCATAATTCATTATTAGCAATTTTCACTTAATTTATCCATATAATACGAAACGTGTACAAGTTAGAAATTGATGGACTTTATTGGGACGACACCTTACCTTACCTTGACACAGATGTCATGCGGCATCAGGTTGACAGGTTAAAGCGGTAATTGACATTTTGTTAACATTGTTCCAATAGGAAGGTCGCGTGGATTGACTTACGGGTACAATTTTTTAATCGTCTTCATTAATTATTAGCAGCAGTTAAAAACATTTTTTTTATTTAAAAATCACCGAGACACCCGAGTAATACTAATAGCGGAAATATGTAGTTTATAAGAGAGCTTTCTTATTCAAAAACTATGCAATTATATAAATTACTTGTACTGCTATAGTTCATGTTTTAAAACACTGCTTTTGGACAAAATATGTTTTTGCTTAAGCCTCAAACACTTCTTCAGTTATGGACTAGTTGATGTGGAATTAGGCTTAACTGTAGTAATACTAATAGCGGAAGTATGCAGTTTATAAAAGAGCTTTCTTGTTCAAAAACTATGCAATTATATAAATTACTTGTACTGCTATAGTTCATGTTTTAAAACACTGCTTTTGGGTAAAATATGTTTTTGCTTAAGCCTCAAACACTTCTTCAGTTATGGACTAGTTGATGTGAGATTAGGCTTGACTGTTAACATTAACAAGTATAATTCTTGAAGTCAGACATACGGGAACTTTGCCCTCCCACTGTACTCTTGCTTAGACTCGTTTTTGTAATGACTGTGTGTTTGTGACAAACTTTCATTGTTCCAAATCTGCAAATATGTTTCTTGATAATAGAGTTACCGCAAAGGATCACATATAAAGTGCAATAAACTTAAAATAAGACCCAAAACTCGAGCGCTTTCGAATAGTTGACTATTCTTCTTCAGGAGAACAAAGAATGTTTGACTGTTGCTTATTCAATTACACCAATAACAAGTTAAAAATACCTCAACTGTCCTTTTATTTGATAACCAGTCTTCCGGCTTGCTTTAACAATAAGCATAAAGCAAACATTCGTGAGATTCTGTTCCTAGCCTAGAATAGTCTTAAGATAAATTGTCGATAATTGTTTTCAAAACTAGTTTGACATGATAATTTTAGTGCATTTCCCCACAAAAAGAAACTATTGAAAAGGTGTGAAGTGTTGTGGCTGAAAGCTATCAACTGCAGAACACAGGAAACAATAGAATCAGGAAAGCTGCGGGAACCAAAGTCTGACTATAACCACGTGCGTTCAGCTCATTTTATATCATGTAAATGTTAGATTCAGATTTTTTAAACACAAGATAATTGTACACGTCTGGGTACTGCACATTGGGCCATTCTCTCGGGCCGTCGATCCAGGAGTCGGCAGAGTGCTGGTGGGGACAAAAATCAAGCCCAATTAATTGTAACTTTACACTTTAAATTACACTTTCACAGTTTACTTGATATTTTACTAATGTCTCGGCTGAGAACTTCTCCACGTATTTGTTACACACTACAATTGATAATTTGACTATCAAACAATAATATATGAACGATAATTGAAGAATTTGCACACCAGTAACACATGTATACAGTAACCTATATAAATTGCATAATAGCAGCTGTACTTGCTTTGTACTGTTTGCCCCCTTTGTCAAGATGGCGATCGCGTTACCAGGCAAAATCACATGACTGTGACATCACGCCAATCTCAAAAATGTAAGATTCTTCTACTTCTAGCTAGTTTATATAAATTGTACGATTTTAAGTCAGCACCAAGCGTACAAAATTACAAATACAGTCTAAAGATAAGGCTAAAGTTATATCTTTAAACTAGACAATCTAATTTTATAACTAACAATAGTAACACGCAGCCCCTAAATCACTAACTAGTGTTACTGAGTAGTATTAGTATTAATATTACTATAGACTAATTAAGAACCTCCTTTTATTATTTTAACTTAAAATTTAGGTTTTATAAGCTCTATACTAAAGTTACGTTAAATTTTAAAAGTAGCCGATCTTGTATTAAGAAATAAAATAACTGATAAATAAGTCATACTACTTAAAGTTTACGTTAACACTAACTACACAGCGTAAATTCTTCAAAAAGTACCTTCTTGAACGAGACCTTGAACGACGACCACGAGAACGAGATCGTGAGCGTCCCCCTCTTCCCCTGTTTCTCCCTCCCCTTGGTGGCCCTCGCCATGTTTCTGTCGGTCTAGCGTACCTTGCCATTTGTACTCTCAGTTCTCGGCCATCTAAACGATATCCATCCAAAGCATCCATTGCATCTTCTGCATCTCTACTGTCATAAAATCTGACAAAGGCGAAACCACGGCTATCCCTCGTAAATGGGTGTCGAGGAATATACACGTCCCCAACGTCGCCATATTTACGAAAAACACGTTTCAATTCTTCTGCTGTTGTTCTGTACGTCAAATTATCCACTTTTAACGAAGTCATACCATCAATACAAGGAGGACCTCTACTACCATAACTCATTATATCCTTACGTCTTTGATAATTCAACTAAGTATCTATCAAGCTTTTCTATATTTAAAAATTTATATTCAACGCACACCCAACTTCACCCTACCTCCAACAACGCGCCAGCCAAGACAAAGTCTTCGTTCTTCTAACGCTCAGTTTTATTATAACACTAGGGGGCACTCAGAGCAAGAATACCAGGATGAAATTATTTATTAATTAAGGCTACATAAAATCGTAAAAATGAACGCACTACCATTCATGAAGAGGAAGCATTATCTAATATAAATGTTAAAGATAATAAATAAAAAATACTAATATATTAATCTAAGTTGTATAAACAAAATGCTTCACAACCTCTTCGTTAAATTTTCCATTCACATGGAGAATTTCTCTCCATTACAGAAATGGCTAAAATTGGATGAAATATAAACAAATCGCATTTCAACGTTTTGCCATATACAACTTTTTTTTTCTTAGACAATTAAAGTAAATGTGTTTCTATGTGTGTGTGTGTGTGTGTGTTAGTTGTATCAACGGAACGAAGGGTAGTTCTTATAATACTACAGTTTGTTAGAGACACACTAGTTTAATTTGTAGGCTTAAATTTTTGATAAAAATCACGTAAGCTACAGATTTTCCCCGCATTCCTCATATTTCCTCCATTTTGGATTCAAAATCAGAGACCTGTAGAATTAAAACAGCATTTTGAATAAGATACAGACAAATTAGAATAAATCTGTGGGTAAAAACACCTGCAGTTCACGTGATTTTATGTGTTAATTATTTGTGGGAAAGCACCTCAGAAAAATTGAGCATGCTAACATGTTATTTCAGTAATGCATACATGTACGTATATGATAGCCAATGATTGAAATAGCTAATATAGTATTGTTCTACAGAGTTGTTTAAATATAATTTAATATAAGTAATATAATTTAACAATTAATAACTACTCGGCATACATACAGTACAGTACTTTACTATAATAAAACATACATGTTTATGCTAATTTAAGCCTAACTACCCATGCAGTGTTACAACAGAATGATGATTTGTTGACTTTTCATTGTATGTTCGTGGGTTTTATCTGAACAGCCATGTAACTGTTTAAGCTATATTTCATGCCAAATAACTTCAAGATTTAATATCATAGAATCTATTTTTTTACAAATTTTCAGGGGGAGCATTTCCTAGACCCCTGTAGCATTAGCACACTGTGCATGCTGACGCTGATTATGTTTTGCACAATATGTGTTGACTTTTGAGGCCAGTCACTACTGTTTATCATTGAGGGGCATGTGCGCATGCGGCCGCCATTGCTAAGTTAAAATCAGGTTCAGATAATCTTGGCTTGAGAAATTTAATAAAATCAAATAACAAAAATTATCCAAACGTTCAGTTTAAATGGAAAACGGCCATAAGTTGTGAGGTGAGATTGCCTTGCCATTGTCAGTTCGACTGGTGGGCTTTGAATGTTGAACATGGCGGGCGCTTGCGCATGCCGAAAATCACGCGACTTTCAATCTAGTGTTATTTATATCAATGTTACATACCGCTAATTATCTCGTTTTTAGGGTACTTTTCGTGTCTATATTCACACAATTCAAGTAGCCGATAAACCGTCATCTCAATGGTCAATCAAATACTCCAACAGTATTACTTATTAATCAACAGTCTTTGATATAACTTACGTTCATATATCATTAAAACCGTTTCCTATATCTTCAAGAAAGTTCTGGTTATTATTTGCCACGGTTTCATTACGTGCTATTTTAACGTTGTCCTCTTGCCAGGAACGATATAAACGTCTAATTTTTAAACAAACCATAGCCAACAACAATAGAATTAGTTAAATAAAGTAACTTGATACTTTTTATTATAAAACAGACGTTAGCTCACAAGACCGAATCAGGGCCGTCCGAAGAATGTTTGAAAGGGGGGCTCTAATTTCTGAGGAAATCTAGTGTTATTTATATCTATGGCATATAAGACTATGTGACAATTCGACATTATTTGTGAAGTTAGGCCTATCGTTACCTCGAGAAACCTTTGACTGTGAGAACTGAAGGAATTAATTGGATACTCAGAATTGAAGAAGTAAACCTCGGGACATTTGGTTATACGTCATCAGATCTAACGAATAAGAACACTTATAACCAGTAACCAGGGACGGACTGGTAATTAAAATCGGGCCCGGGAAAATAATTATTATACTGGCCCTTTGGTCCTGAGTAGGGTGTTGCACTTAATGTCTATGATGTATACTTGTTTGTTCGTTTGTTTTGAATTTTGCACAGAGATACACGAGGGCTATCTGCGCTAGCCGTCCTTAATTTAACAGTGTAAGACTAGAGGGAAGGCAGCTAGTCATCATCACCCACCGCCAACTCTTGGGCTACTCTTTTACCAACGAATAGTGGGATTGACCGTCACATTATAACGCCCCCACGGCTGAAAGGGCGAGCTTGTTTGGTGTGACGGGGATTCGAACCCGCAGACTGCAAGTCGAGCGCCCTAACCACCTGGCCATGCCGGGCCCCTTGATGTATACTAGTGCTATTCATTTAATTCCCAAATCAAGCAAAAATAAATTAAACGAAATTCTTCATTTACAGTCGGTCGTTTGCTACATTTATTATCCATATATGGACACAAAATTACATGAACTCTAACTAATTTGTACTGAAATAATTTTAAAAGATGAACACAATTACCCCTCTAATTCTTCTTCACTCATACGTCGTTTATACTGCGCTATAACCCGTTAACGGGATGTTGGGGGATACGATTAAGCCTAACTTAATCGAATAATGCTAAAAAAGTGCACTGGCCTTCTACCACAGAAAATTAAAGATTTGCTCACTGCTAGCTTAAAGCAAGACACCAAGTACAATTGACTCAATGCTTAACTGATTCTTATACTTATAATCTTCTCTCATCTCTCGATATTCTTCGAATATATTAAATTCTCGACGTCAAACTTAGAACATTCTTGGTCTACTCCCATAAACTTAATTGATCTTAACGTCATAGTCTCTAGCGAACATAAATTAAAACACTGAAAATATATCAGACAATTAAAAGAGATGTAGTTTTTGTTGTTGTTGTTGTTGTTTTGTCTTGCGAAGATCTAAAGAAGCAATTAATAACTTTTTGTTGCAGATTCTGAAAAAAAAGGAGACATCCTTCCTGCAAAGTGTTTCACGTGATCTTGTTGTAGGAAATGACGTAGCGGAAGTATGATAAATAATTTCCTTCGGAAGATGAAGACTAAAAAAAATTTGAGGCACTTTCCATACATACTTCTCATTTTCTTTGTCTTGGAAAGTCTGTATTTATCAAGGTATTTTTGTCATAATGTACTTTTTATTCTACTATTCATTCAATATTTAAAATATTTAAAACATAGATAAAACTATTATATTAACTAAGACAATTTGAATTATTGATTAAGAAAGTGGGTATTGTTAACAATAATACAAAAACTGTATTATTATTTTTATTTTCGTATTGGCTTGTCATACGTGCCCTTATACTTTAACTTCCCTAAGCTATTCGAACCAAGGCCGGATTTGGGGTCTTGAGGGAGCTGACGCAATATTCTATTCGAGGGGGCTTCCTCCCCTCCACTTATTTTGTGCAGCAAAATAATGAACAAAAAATGACACTTACGTGATATTATTAACTAGTCGTGAACAAAGGCCCTTGGTTGGCCGGGACCATAGCGCAGAACTGCTCCACACCCTAACCCTAAATCCGGCACTGGTTCGAACGCCCACGATGTCTGCACGCGTCTTATACTGAAACAATCATTGTGTTTCATGTGTACGTTTGTTTGTTTGTTTTTTAAATTGAGCACAGAGCTACACAATGGTCTATCTGTGCTCTGCCCACCACGGGTATCGAAACCAGATTTCTAGAGTTGTAAGTTCGCAGACATACCGCTGTGCCACTAGGGGGAGGGGGCTTCACGTGTACATTTTAAAGTATTATTAAACGTTGATTTTACCAATTTTATGAAATTTGTTGTGTCTGGTCTGACTTGAGTCCTTGTTTGTTTGCTTTTTGCTCTTTCTGATTTTAATTTCAAAAATGATAAATATTCTTTACGTCTCTATCAGTGTTAAGGAAATGTTTACGGTTGTATTTGACAAACAAGTAAATAATAACATTTTCAAAAAATGAAATAAATGTGAGGATGGCATTTGCATCATCCCTACACAATATCCCCTGGTGGGACAGCGATAAGTCTACGGCCTTACAACGCTAAAATCAGAGGTTCGATTCCCCTTGGTGGACACAACAGATAGCTTGATGTGGCTTTGCTATGAACACACATATTCGCGTTTCGTGTGTATATTTATTTAAACATTGTTAAACAGATATAATCGAATAAAAAATTTTCTTAAGATAAGTAAAATCGTCCACCTGGTGGTAAGTCTACGGTTCCTGTTAAAATGTAACGACAGGTCATATATATATAAATCTTTACATTACGTCAGTTGAGTTTGACATTGAATCATTTCCATTACGTCAAGGATATCAACGAATAACGTTGTTTTAATAATGAATCTTGAATTAGAAACTCGTGGTAGACAAAAACACAATAAAAAGGTTGTAAGTGGAAGTTGGTTCTGGTGTTTTTGGTGTGGACCTCTCAGTTCTTACAGTTCGTGAAAAATCAACCATTATGCGCGGTGGACAGAGTACTACTAACCTTTTCTGGAGCTTTGCACCAAACAACAACAACAACAACAATAATATTAGGTGGCCACAGATGTGTCGCTAGGCACTGGCAGACGGGGCCCCAGCCCTGAATCTTTTAAGTATCTAACAACGCCTCTGGGTGGTCAAAATTTAACCGTTCGTATTTAGAAGAGATTCACAAAAGAATTGTAAATGATTAAACCACTTCCATGTAAATATCTTTGGTTGTTGTAATTAGGCTCCTGATGACCTTTACTTCAAATATGAAAGAAACGTTCTCTAGAAGTTGTTAGACTCGCTTCTTCGTCCCCCAATTGGGTCAGCGGTAATTTTACGGACTTAAAAGCTAAAGTCCCGGGTTGGATTCCTCGTGGTGGGCAGAGTACAGATAGCCCATTGTGTAGCTTTGGGCTAGAACAAACTAATAGACACATTTCTTGATCCGATTTGTTCGTTAATCTCTGCTGCTCAAATAAATTGTTCACATTTTTCTGATAATTAGATTTTTTATTTTTTTGAAAACTAATGCAATTGCACTTTTAAAAATCTTAAACTTTCGGACGCCCCCCAGTGGCTCAGCGGCATGTCTGCGGAGTTACAACGCTAGAAACCGGTTTTCGATACCCGTGTTGTGCATTGGACAGATAGCCCATTGTGTAGCTTTGTGCTTAACTACAAACAAATAAACTTTCGGATATTTACTGAAAAAAAGGAAGATAAAAGACATGTTTCCAAGTGGGTTATTGTCACTTTAGTAAAAAAAAAAACAGTAATGTAATGACAAGACAACTTCATGAAATGAAAATTATATAACCTGTATACATATAACACTAGGATTTGAGGTTCAGTCCATGCAGTAAGTGGGCACAGTACCCATTGTGTATCTTTGCGCTAAAACAAATATACAAACTGTAACGTCACGTGAGAAGTTTGTTTGTTTGTTATTAAGCACAAGGATACATATTGGACTATCTGTACTACGCCCACCACGGGTATTGAAACCTGTTTTCTAGCGTGGTAAGTCCGTAGATATACCGCTGTGCCACTAGGGGGGGGGGGGGTATACAAACTTTTTAAACATCACTCCAGATTATTTGCACAGCTGTTGTTGTTTTCTTAGTGCAAAGCTAAACAATAGTCTGTCTGCATTTTGTCCACTGTGAGGAATCGAACCCCGGATTTTAGCATTGTAAATCCGTAAACTTACCACTAACCCACTATCTGACAATGCAAACCTTATATCAAGAATTCATTACAGAGAAAACAAAATATTTTCCTGTAGCTGAATTAATGGTTGATTTAGTAAAATGTATAATTCTATTATTTATCCGCCATTTTACAAAGTATTGTATTTCACGTTGCTTAAAAGAAAAATAATTATTGCTCTTTTTCGCGTTATTGTCACATCTGAATTCGTGAATTATTAGGTATTGTATTACTAGATGTAAATCGTTAAATTTATGTCTTGAATTGCATTAGCTTTCAGTCAACGAGAAGAAAAAAAAATCTTTGTTTTCTATTGTTTATAAGAAAATTAGTTTCGTTCGTTTCTTTGTTCTTAAGCACAAAACAAAAAACAATACAAAGAGCTATTTGTGCTCTACCAATAGCGTGTATCAAAACTTAATTTTAATTGTATTTTTTATTGAAATTCTGATAAAAGAGCACACAAAAGGAGCAACGAATTTTTTTAAAAAAAAGACCCAAATTTCGAGCGCTATCGAATGGTTTACACCTGAAGAAGAACAGCCAATTATTCGACATCGCTCGAGTTTTGGGTCTTTTTTTTTAAATTCATTAAATTATCCTAATTATCTAATACTGAAGTCGTATTTTTGAACTAACAATAACATTTATTTGCACTTTTAGATGGCGAAGACTTAAAAGTGGACGAACTAAGACTTAAACGAGCAGTAAGCAACTGTTCTGGGTTCATCAATGTTAACGTCTATTTAGATTTGATGTTGGCGAACGCCAGGGGTTTCCTATCCGACGCGATCACTCTTCCGAACGTTTCCAATAACATTGACCTCGCAAATGGTGAAATCCGTGGGCTATCCACTATATACAGAAGTGGAAAGTCACACGTGTTCTGCAGTGGCAAGTCCGCTATTATCCAGGTGTCGCTGGGCTTTCGAAACTTGAGCGGTTCATACAAGTGGCACAAGAAACTTCCTTTGCTATCACTAGATGGCGCGATCGACATCAAAGTCGATGATCTCCAGATTGTCGCCAAGATCAGCCAGTCTCCATCAGATTCAATTCTTCGTCTAACTATGTTTGACATTGTTAGGCTAGAAGGAGTGAAGATCCACATTACAGGTTTGGGTCCACTAAGCTGGCTGTTCTCCAAACTAAGCACTTTCCTTGTCAGAATTTTTAGAAGTTTCGTTGCTAACTATGTTGAAGGCCCAATACAAAAAGTGATTCGGCATATTATCGAGAAGACTAAACCAATTTTTCCTCCGTATTGAACTAACAACAGAAAAGCTTTCCATTATTTTTTTTTTTCCTTGTAACCTTGTCGCTGAATAAAAACTTTCCAATGAAATTTACCACTTTCCATTGTATGAAATAGAGGTACGTCGGCAGAAATCTATAAGGGGGAGGGGGAGGTTGCTGTTAAGCACAAAGCTACACAATGGTTTATGTGCCAATTGGGGG